CCCCAGCGGGGGCTTTGACCAGGGCACCTACAGGGTCTTGGGCTTCCTCACACTTGGGATTGGATGCCGGGGCGTGCCCTGAGTGGCGGGGGAGCAGAGTGCCCCGGCTGGCCAGGCGGGAGCGCTACCCTTTTTTAAAACGAGCCTCGGGACCCATGCGGTCACTTCTGTGCTCCGCTGACCTGAGCCACTAAGACCAGCCTCTATCCAAGAGGCCGAGGCGAGGCCCAGTCTGAGGACAGCAGTGCTGAGAGACTTGCAGACGTGTTTTAAAACCGCCCGTACGGTCCGTGAGAACACGGCCCCTCCTGTGCCCCACCTCCCCCTCTTCCCACCCACGGGCGGGGATGAAGGCCGTCAGTCCCTGGACTGTGAGACCTGGGGGCCCGGCCAGCTCCTCAGGCCAGAAACAGCGTTTGCTCTCAGCGGCCCCCGCCCGTCCTCCTGCACCCCTGGTTTCTCTGTGCTCTGTGCTCTGTAAAACCCCGTGTTGGGCAAGTCTGGGTGGTGGCGAAACAACAGCGCCAGCCCTCAGCCACCCCCTGTGCGGCCTGGCCGAAGGCCAAAGGCCGATGGGACTCAGCAGTTCACCCTCGCTGGTGGCAGCCGGTGGGTCGGTGAACTTCACCTGTCAGCCGCCCCCTGTGCACGTGTCAGTCCGAGTAAACCCGAGTCTCTCACAGCCAGTCCGCGCGGTGATTTCTCCGGGCCCTCAGCGCTTAGCATGACACCACCACAGACCCAGGAGCGATGAGCACCGGACAACTACACGCAGCAGCACACAGCCACCTGCCTCGGCTCGGAAATCGTTTTCCTCGCTGGTTCCAGGCGCAGCCAAGCCCACCCGAACACCCGGCCCTGGAGCGCCCACCCCACAACCCAGAGCACCCCTCAAAGACCCGACCCACAGACTTCTCTATTGCACACACTCCTTGAGTAACTTCCTGATTCCTTTTCTCAGAGATTCTTGGGGGCGCGGGGAGTGGGAGAGACTTGGAAGTGAGGGCACCTGGGTCCGGTCCCCACCTCACAGAGCCTATAAGAAGGACACAGGTTTATTTGGGAGTGCGGAGATTACGGGAAATCATTTTCTTCTCTATGTTTCCATTTTCTGTATTGTTAAATTTCTGATTGTGGTAAAATATACGTAACATAAACATACCATTTTAATGATGTGTAAGTACAGTTCAGGGGCATTAAACATAACTACATTGTTGCGCAACCATCACCACCGTCATTTCCAGAACTTTTTCATCTTCTCACACTGAAACTCTCTCTCCATTAAAGTAACTTCCCTTCCCCCTCCCCATCCCCCGCCCCTGGCACCCACCATTCTGCTTTCTGTCTCTATGAGTTTGACATGCCTTGTTGCAGGCTCTAGGAAACTGTAAGTAGAATCATACAGTATTTTTCCTTTGTGACTGGCTTATTTCACTTAGCATAATATCCTAGAGCAGGGGTGGGGAACCTTTTTCCTGCCAAGGGCCATTTGGAAATTTATAACATCATTTGCTTATTATAATTCACTTACTATAAATTTTGTTGCTATAAAAAAGCTCCTAGATTTATTGAATTTCGAGTCCTGCCTGCAGATGCCTTGGCAGGGCCGGACCAAATGATTTCATGGGCCTCATACAGCCCGCGGGCCAGACGTTACCCACCCCTATCCTAGAGGTCATCCCTGTGGTCGAATGTGCCCTGGCCAGGTGGCTCAGTTGGTTGAAAGCATGTTCTGGGCACCAGAAGGTGGCAGGTTCCATTCCCGGTCAAGGCACATACCTAGTTTGTGGGTTTGATCCCTTCCTCTCTCCCTAAAAATAAAAAAAATATGCTCAGGTGAGGATTAAAAAATATATGCATATTGAGAATGTGTCAGAATTTTCTTTCTTTTTGGGGTGAATAATATTCCAGTATGTATGTGTGTGTGTGTGTGTGGCATTTTGTCTATCCATTCATCCACTGATGAACATTTGTTTTTTTGTTTTTTTTTTTTTGTTTTTTTTAAATATATTTTATTGATTTTTTACAGAGAGGAAGGGAGAGAGATAGAGAGTTAGAAACATCGATGAGAGAGAAACATCCATCAGCTGCCTCCCGCACATCCCCCACTGGGGAAGTGCCCGCAACCAAGGTACATGCCCTTGACCGGAATCGAACCCGGGACCCTTCAGTCCGCAGGCCGACGCTCTATCCACTGAGCCAAACCGGTTTTGGCTGATGAACATTTGTTTCTACTTTTTGGCTTATTGTGAACAATAAGCTACCACACTGCTATAGACATTGTTGTGCAAATATCTGTTTGAGTCTCTGCTTTCAGTTTTTTTGTATATGCTTAGAATACATAGAGCATAATTATGGGATCATGTGGTAAATCTATTTAATTTTTTGAGGAAGCAGTTAAAATTTTTTAAGCTTTTTAAAAAAGTAATCAAAGAGCCCTGGCTGGTTTGGCTCAGTGGATAAAGCGTCAGCCTGCGGACTGAAGGGTCCTGGGTTCTATTCCAGTCAAGGGCACATGTCCAGGTTGCAGGCTCAATCCGCAGTGTGGGGTGTGCAGGAGGCAGCTAGCTGATCAATGATTCTCTCTCATCATTGATGTTTCTGTCTCTCTCTCCCTCTCCCTTCCTCCCTGAAATCAATACAAATATATTTTTTAAAAAGTGATAAAAGACTGTTAAGGATAAAACACCACCTGGCTGGTGTGGCTCTGTGGTTGAGTGTCGACCTATGAACCAGGAGGTCACAGTTGGATTCCCAGTCAGGGCACATGCCTGGGTTGTGGGCTTGATCCCTAGTAGGGGCCGTGCAGGAGGCAGCTGATCAATGAATCTCTCTCATCATTGATGTTTCTCTCTCTCTCTCTCTCTCTCTCTCTCTCTTCCTCTCTGAAATCAATAAAAATACATTTAAAAAAAAAAAGAATCAAAACACCCATTTCAAAACTTTAAAAACAGAAAAATCATGTTTGTTCATTATGATTTTTAATAATGTCTACTCTTCTAGTGTTTTTATTTATTTTTAAAGACTAATTGAGAGAGAGCATCCATAACAAATTTCAGGTTTTATTTGGTTATGTATGTGGATTTTTGAAAATAAAACATTTTTATTGTAATAAATACACATAACATAAAATTTACTGTCCTAACCATTTTTAAGTGTGCAGTTCAGTGGTATTAAGCCCAGCCGGCATGGCTCAGTGGTTGAGCGCCCCCGTGACCGCCTTTTGTCAGACACTAGCATTTCAGCATATTTTTGTAGCTTTTCACACTAAATGGTTGTCATTTTGCAAAACAAAATATTAACACCGGGTAAGAGTTGTGTTATGTTCCGGGAGCTTGCTAGACCAGGAATTTACATCTATGCTTCCCTCATCCCTCCTATGTACGTGGGCTGTGTGACTGGGCACGACACCTCCCTTATTGGGGCTCACTTGTCATCTGTCAGTGAGTCAAACCACACAACCTGAAAGGACACCAGGAGCTAATGACACCATCCCGTCGGCGCCCAGGCTCCTCCCACCCTCAGCCACGGGAGGAAGGAGCCAGGACGGCCAGTGTCCAGGGTCTTGGCCTGTTTTTGGCCCTGGACTTTTCCCAGGAGCTTGGCATTGTTGCTACCACGCCTCACCTCACAGATATTTTCTAACCGAAACTGGGGCAAATGGTCTGAAAACATGGAGATGTAGAAGACATGAAAACATTTTATTGTAATAAATACACATAACATAAAATTTACTGTCCTAACCATTTTTAAGTGTGCAGTTCAGTGGTATTAAGCCCAGCCGGCATGGCTCAGTGGTTGAGCGTTGACCTATGAACCAGCAGGTCACTGTTCAATTCCCCGTCAGGGCACATGCCCAGGTTGCAGGCTTGGTGCCCAGTGTGGGGCGTGCAGGAAGCAGCCCATGAATGATTCTCTGACATCATTGATGTTTCTATCCCTCTCCCCCTCCCTAAACCACACAACCTGAAAGGACACCAGGAGCTAATGACACCATCCCAGGCTCCTCCCACCCTCAGCCACGGGAGGAAGGAGCCAGGACGGCCAGTGTCCAGGGTCTTGGCCTGTTTTTGGCCCTGGACTTTTCCCAGGAGCTTGGCATTGTTGCTACCACGCCTCACCTCACAGATATTTTCTAACCGAAACTGGGGCAAATGGTCTGAAAACATGGAGATGTAGAAGACATGCTCATGAAAAGAAGGCAGAAGGCTCGCTCCCGCAGGAGGGTGTGGGGGCTGGATGGCAGGCGCTCAGCGGGCAGGACAGGGCCACGGCAGCCTCCAGAGAGCAGGCGGAGGGAGGCGCGAGGTGCTGGGGTGGAGGGGGTGGGAAATGGGCCTCTGGGTGCATGTTCTGGGGCCTGACAATGGGGTGACACTGAGTTCAACAGAGCCACTGCCCATTCTGGCCCCACCCCTCTTGCCAGGAACCGCCTCCCCAACAACCGACCGCAGTGACCACATCCCCCCAGGTTGCCTTGGAAACACGCCTCAGGACAGGGGAGCTGGGGCACAGTTGCCCAGCAACAGGTGGTGCCCTCCCTTCCGCCCTCATCTGAGGCCCCGCTCTGCGCCCTTCCACAGGCCGGGGAAGAGCTGCTCTGAAGGGAGAGGGGAGCCCAAGGACAGAAGACGGAGGTGAGGAGCACAGGAGCCCCTGTAGTGGGGAGCCCCTGGGACCAGCCCCCACCACTTCCTCTCTATAGGCCCAGCAGGGCCTGAGGGGCTGAGGAGGCAGAGGGAAGACGCCCTTGGGGCCCTTAGAGCTTTGTCCAAGGCACCTGGGACCTGGGAGGGGAAATGGGGTTCTGAACAGGAGGGCCGGCTGGGGGCCCCAGTGGTGCTTCCCCCCTTTCCTCCTCTAGCCCTCCCCGGGGTCCCTCTGGGCCTGTTTCTCGGGCCAGATCCCCAGCCCCTGACCCCGGCTCTCTGCTCAGTCCTGCCTGGGCCCTGGCTGCCTCTCGGCCTCCGGATGGAGCTTCCTCTCCCGACCCTGTCTCCCCAGATGCCGTGGACTCCAGAGCAGCCCTCTGGGCACATGGAAGGGCCGCCTGCAGCGGAGTCGGCCTCGTGGCCCCCGCTGCCCTGTGGGCCTTGCATCCCCATCATGCTGGGCCTGGCCATGCTGGCCGCCCTCTTCCTCCTCACCACGGCTGTGCTGGCCGAGCGCCTGTTCCGCCGCTCTCTGCGACCCGGCCCCAGCCCCCACGCGCCCACCCTGGTCTGGCGCCCCGGCGGAGAGCTGTGGATCGAGCCCACCGGCACCCCCCGGGAGCGCTCTGAGGACTGGGAGGGCTCGCACCCGCCTGTCCCCGGGGGCACCTTGGAGGCCCGAGCAACAGCCCCGCCTGCCCCTTCGACTCCACACGCCCCTCCCAGCTTTTTTGTTCCGCAGATCCCACCCCAGTCCCCAGCCCCAAGTACCTTCTGGGGGCCCCACGCCTGGGAAGGGAGGCCCCATGCCCCGGGCCTGGTGAGCTGGGCTGAGCCTGAACAGAGGCCAGAGCCCAGCATGAGTTTGGGGAGCCCCCAGGCCCGGAGACAGCGGCCAGGGAGCCCTGACCCGGAGTGGGGCCTCCAGCCTCGGGTCACCCTGGAGGACATCTCAGCTTTCTGGAGGCGAGAGAGCCGCACCAGCGTGGGCTTCTGAACCCCCCGAGCCCGAGGACTGGCCCCCAGAGGCCTCTGAGCAAAGCCCGACTCAGAGCTCCCGCTGGGAACCAGCTGACACCCGAGGCCGGGGGAGGAGGCCGGGCTTTTCACACCCGATCTCAGTTCAGCTGGGTCTGGTCTGGCAGGCGGGTGTGGACACAGCCGGTGCTGCAGGCGAAGCTCAAGGTGCCTCTGCTTAGCTGCCTGCAGGGGCGCTCCGTGCAGCGTGGAGGTGGGAGGACTCTGGGCCGGAAGCCGCCGGGGTCACGTTCCTGATGAAGAATTCAAGGTATGCGGCCGGCAAGGATGAGCATCGCCAGCGGCTTCCGCCTCCCGCGCTGTGTGTCCAGGTGCCGGTGCCGGAGGGCAGGGCGCGGTGGCTGAAGGAGAGCTGCCGGCGGTGCTAGCAGATGGCAGGAGCCCCGCTCCCGGAGCCACAAACCCCGCCAGGAAAACACAGGCGGAGAGGCCAGACCAGCAAAGGAGCCTCTTTCGGAAAATGAACCGAGCCTTGGACCCCAGCGCAGAGCGCAAACGAGGGGAGCCAAGCCGGGGAGGCCGCTCTGCCTTCAGCCGGGGCCCAGAGCCGGATAAACCAGCGGCTCCTCTGCGGTCTCTGAAGGCTGACACCCCAGCCTGCG